TACTTTTAATTAATATTCAATTGCAGAATAACTTCTGTGGTGTGTGCTACTGGTGTCGACAGATATAAGTAGTATGTATCACTAATAGATAGTGAAATACCTAGCGGCGGAAGGTTAAGAAGTTCGAAGAGAAGAGAACAGAGAGTGATTGGTGTGTAAACGAAGGAACAGTGAAGTCTGAGGTAATTAATTGACATTTTACAGATGAAGTATTCACTGTATGGTTCTCATATTTTACTAAGAGATTCTGTAATTGTGTATTCAAATACATTTGGTTGTTCCCACTTGTGTTCTCGTTCACTACACTACATTTAACCTGCCAATATAATTAAAAACAGTTTTATGATTTGTACATGTTAGTAGGCATGAAAAACGTGTTAGTAAACTCATTCAACTGAATAAATAACAACAAATCGCACCTTTCTAAAGTTATCTACACATACTTTCGGATTCATGCTATTTAAAAAATGACACAAATACAATTTCATTAGAATTAAAACAGATGAGTTGAATGAAATTTAATAAGAGATTTTAAAATACTTAAGTTTTAAAGCTTCTATTAAATTCCAAGTATACAGTTTCACCATTTGATAAACATTTTCAACAATCAGATTATTTTTCATGATTCTCGTATTAGTAACCTGTTATTCAGTCAGTATATATCATAAGAGATTATACATGTTATGTAACACTAGCGGTTTCAATTGTATTAAAAAGCCCTACTGTTTGAAGCCGAATTCTGTTACTATTGTTTTAAACCGTAGTATAATATAAATAGGTAGATTAACTGGGAGTTTCATTATGAATTTCAACACAGCTTTTGACAAAGAACAATTTGCTTAACATTTCCAAGCCTTCACAAATACAAAATAAGTTATGCCTTATTTTTCTCAGACAAGCTAAATATTTTTTATAATGTTTACAACACATTTCTATTCACATATCATCATGAATTATGCATTAGACAATAAACATATAATAACCATCCCAACTAGCATATCGTGATAAGCACGGTTTAGTTCAATTAGATTTAACTTTAACCCAATTTATTCAGCATTTATCAATGCAACAACTTAAAATTTCATTGTCTGTATAATTATTCGGTGAAGTAGTTCTGTGAAACTTAATGTTTTCATCATCCTATTTTCATACCACTGAACGTTTAGAAAACAGAATAATAAAATCCTTTAAACTTCAAGTCATCATATAAGTAAAATCAAATCATGTTTGATATGAAATTTTGAGTCATTTAGTTAATGGTCATATTGGAACTTTAACAATAGAATCCGACTAGCACTAGAGGACTAGACAAATATGACGAACGTAACTTCTCACTAGTTAATATGTCTTACATCAGTTAACTCTCAGCCAGAATATCTCTCTACTGAAATTTTAGATTGCGACTCTGAGTGAGGTCGTTTTGGATCATATGGCAAGAACCAGCTTTTTGGAGACCAGATATTTCTTTACTGAACCAAACCTTGATCATGAGCTTTCTTCTGACGTCCTACAATCATCTAACATGACATAAGACTATTTAAAGGAGCTATTTCTCAAAGTTATGCTTCTTTACTGAAAATAATAATAGTAGAATAGTGTAAAACACCGGTTAAGACTTTTCTTTTTAAAAAAAGTTACATAACAATAAAATTATTCCAAGTTCAATTCATAACTGTCCTAAATGCATTCACATTGGGCATGTTCAGTTGATGACAACTACGAATTTTCAATAAACTTCTCCAAAAATAAGTAACAAATATCACTGATGTTTGAACTATGCTTTTCCCATGTATATGTGAATTAGCTTCATGAGAATAGTACATAAACATGTGACTAATTAGTGAATACATATATATGACGTATAATCCTACATATTGAATGTAAATACGTCATTAATTTTCCAATATTTTCCTTATACTCATGGACAAATTACTTTGGTGGTTGTTTTTGTTAAAAAGGTTATAATCATAACAAAATGTTTTGTTATCTACTGTAAGGTTCCTTTCATAATTGTCAATATGTTTTTATTCAGTACTTTCGACATTTTACTTGAAGAATCGATTTACACGTAAATAATAATTAATACTATTTTGACAATGTCAATAAATATGATTACTAAAAGCATGTTTATGTCTATATATACATACTGTCACGAGATATATATGGATGCGCAAAACTTAGACAGGAATTATGCTAAGAAAGTTAACTATTATACTATGTGTAATCGGAACAGAATGGAAAATAGACGAATGTGATTTCTTGTCGATACGACCATAATCTACCAGCAGCAAGGTTGCCAGTTCTATCTCTTACTAATGATCAACTTCAATATGTTTATTCAACAGTTACCACAATACACTGAAGAACTATATATGAGCAGTAAACTATTTGTTGAACTGAACAAATCCAAAACCGCATTCACGAAGAATATAATTAATAATTAGTAATTGAACATGCTTGATAATTAAGATCTTAAGGTAAACACTTAAAAGTCTGACAAGTAAGAACAGCCGTTTAGAACAAATAGAAGCATTAACAATTTCCAGTACTTTGATTGGAATGAGCTATATATACTTATGTATTCAGAGGGAAGGAAGCTTTTGAAAAATATAATAAGTGATATAGGAGGGATTCAACTCAAGTGAATTTAAAATTAAGTGCAAATTTATCCAGTTAGTGAATTAATACCAATTAAAAGCATGATAAAATTAGTACTGCTGAATTCCAGTTAAGCAGAATAATAGAAGTCAATGAATTACAAACAGGGATTTATTCAGTTATTTCTTTAAAAATATGTCAAAATTTAACAAATACATAACAAACATACAAACAGATAATCACTTAGTGATCAATGCCATGTTTATCAGGTTGTTTGTAGAGCCTATCGGATTAAACTGACCAAGGTGAAACAATATTATCAGTATAAACAACATAACGCGAACTGTGCTGAAATGTCAGATGGCTGGAGATAACCAACAGGAAATCATGGATCTAGGTTTTGCGTTAATCGGCACTCATCAGAAAGGCATATCTGTTCTCTTGAGGAAGCTGATTTTTCGTGTAGGATTTGAAACTACACTTCAAGGACTAAACAAACATGAGGTCAGTCACTAATCACTGACCTATCAACCCTGAACATCTTAGTGGTAATGTCTCAAACTGTGAAGCTGGCTGGCGCGGAATTAAATCCAAAAAAAGAGTCAGTTCCATCAAGAGTACAAATACACCTTGCTAACGAGTTCTACCTAGCACGACACCCAGATTCAGGGTTTCGTAAATACTACCACGGACCACTGTCAAAATGACAGGAAATGGACAACCATGATTTTAACACCCAATATCGAATGTATTTTTGTTAAGTTGCATTGTATACAACAAGCAGAAGTTATATTGATATTTCATATTTAATAAAGTTATATCATATTGATCAACTAGGTGCTCACAAAATCCTCTTGTAAGCTTATAATCAATATGTAGAAGCATTTTCTATATTCCAAAAGCTGTTGAAAAGTAGATTATTATATTGTCACCGATCTGAATATGGTCAATTCAACAAACATTTTTTACTTAAGCCAATAATTTTTTAATAAACAGTAATAAATTCTGACTAATTAACAATTCCAAAGGAATTAATATATGATCTTAAGTACGACAAAGCTAGTGCAAAACAACGTATTCCTAATAAGTTTTCAGAGAAAATTTTCTCTAGGCAGAATTTAGACAGGTAAGTAGCATGATTATAGAAATCACTTGAAGATCCTAGTTTCTATCACTGGGGAGACCATGAGTGTGTATCGCTAAAGTCCCATATTAGGAAAAACAGCTATCGAGCTCTTTCTAGTATACATATTCCTCGCTTCGACTAGTATAGGATGACTAAATAGTTAATAAATTAACCAACCTCTATTAAACCTATTCAACCGAATCCATTATTTTTCAGTAAACACTGAACTCTACACAAACATTTTTTATATCAGTAAATATTTACCTAGTCTATTTAAATGACATCACTTTTTAATGAATCGCACTTTTATACAACGAGTAGCTAAGTTCTGTCTATTGAACGTAATCCATTGTTTCTTAATTACATAATATATAACTGGAATAATTTTATAACTATGTGAGCTGAGCAAGAGAATCAACAAAGTTCTTAAAATCAGAATAAATATATTGCGGTTTTAGCCCAAACTTGGTGAATTTAATAGTTTTAGACAAAGATAGTGCCAGACAGTTCATGACATTCAATGAATAAATACAATAAACTGTTGATTTGAGTTGATGACATTAAAATATTTGGTTCCGTCATGTGAATTTTACGATCTCCGTTATTTTTTCATGAATTTTATTTATAGTTTGTGTTTGTTAGTTCTTTTTGTTCACTTTATGTTCAGTGTGGTTGAATGTTGAGCGATTCTGCCCTAATCCCAGGAAAATTATAATTATAATCTTACCAGAATTACCTTTTTCTCATACAATTACAAGTATCAACTATTAGATATCACATAATCAAATTATGTCGTTTGGTCATGATACTATTTTTATCAGACCCAAAAATTATACCCCCAATTCGAATCAAATTAACCCAGTTGTTTAATAACATTTAAACAACAGTTGAGGAATTAAGAAGAATTGAACAATATTTTATCTTAATATGAGGGGCTTAAGCATTGTGTTTCCATGTGGGGGGGTGAGGCGATAACCACTGGTGTCCGTCTCGCTTCACCTAGTGAATTAAGTTGACATGCGAACCACTTAATTCAAATAAACAGTACAAGGCAGCATGCTTGCTGTAAAACCTGGGTTCGATCACTGAAGGAGTCATGGATGTTCACCACTGAGCGCCTTATGTAGAGACAAACTATTTGTTCAGTGAGCTCTGAATTTTGGAAATTTACAGGATGACATTCTATGGGAAATATAGAGTGCGAGAAAACCCAAACACTGATATTTGGTTCACAAATCTGGCACATTTATAACTGGGAACTACTAGTACTAACGCATTACGGTAGTCTAAATGAAATATATTTGTAAATAAATTTCATAAGCTATTCCTCAGAGAAAATCAGATAGTTTCAGTTAAATGAAACGCACAAACACAAAAAACTGAATATTAAGTCTGTTTATCATTAGGCGTGTCATTAGCAGAAGACCAGTAAGTATATTTATATATAACCATCTCAAGTAACATTGAAAATAGTAAAAAATAAGTCACAAATCCACAGTTTATTAACACCATATCGCAGAACAAAATTAGAGCCTGATGTATCAATTAGTAGTAGCAGTCCATATCGTCATCAGCAAATGTGTCATATTAGTGCTAATAATGATGGTAGCAATTATAATGACAGTAAAAATTACAAGAACGTCATAAACATACACACACACACCAGAGAACATTTATGAAAAATAGGAAAACAAGTTAAAAATTAAAATAAAACAAACTGATTAGAATCATCATTGTATGTGTTGTGAATAGGAAAAAAATACAGAAATACTAAGGAAAAAGAATTGCAGACAACTTTTCATAATGTAAACATATATGATAGTGAACTTTATTCAAAACACAAGAAGTATTTGTCAGAACTTCCTTCATTTTTAGTTGCCTTTAAAATAGAAAGACTAGGTCATTCATCAGGAAAAGCAAATAATGTACAATCGTAAATTCTGAAAATAAGATCAACGAGTCAAATAATGAGACAATGTCACCGAAACCATAAGTCGGAAGTCGATCACATGCACGTGTATATGCAGGCGACGAAAATAAACAAGCAAAAATGGAAGGAGGAAACACACACTAAAAAAAATTAAACAAGGAGTTCACAATGCAAAATAGCAAAAAAAGGCAACTTAGATAAAAGTATATCTGTTTAAATTCATTTTCAGCTGTTATTATTTATTTTTCTGATTATTTATTAAAATGAATCAAATGAAAGGAAATAAGCACAAACACTATTTGTTAGTTAAGTGAAATGAGAAACAATGTCTGTTTCACTCTTGATCTAATTGATCATCCATTAAAATGTATTTTCTTGACGCAATCATACTTATATATTGATTCACGATATCATAAATAAATTAATGGATGTACGAAAGAGAAAGGAATAATGAATACAGAATGAGGAAGAGGGAGTAATCATAACATAACAATATTATTAAATAAACAATTGGAATAAAAGGGAAAATGACGTATTTCCATTTATTAAACTTGATAATTCATTAACATTTTCATTAAGGAATAGACGTGAACAAACTAATACACGTATACATTAAAATGTATAAGATTAGTTTGATACTATTTGTTTTACTCTGCATTATCACCGATTTCGGTAACAAATATCAACAATCGATAAATGGAAAGTTTGATTTTTCTTTTATCTTAATCTTCACATGAAGTTCTGTTTTCTAGAATTTTTGATTATTTATAGGAAAAATACACTTAAGAATAAAACTATTTACTTGGTTCATAAAATTGAGACAGTACAATGTGATAATAAAAAAAAGGTGAGGAGAGGGAAAAAAACGAAGCATAGTAAATTTAGAATATCATGAAGTGGTGAATAACACTGAAGAAATCACTGTGTTTCGTAGTAGGGAATACACTGAAACTTAGTTAATACTCTTGAAGAACTTTATTGTCTACAAAACAGATAGACGAGTAGATAGTGCATCTAAGTAGACCGATAGGAAGAATCGAAATGAATTAGCATACGAAAAATTCTAAAAAGTGGGTAAACACATGTAGTAAATACCGAAGATGTTATTCCGTCTGTTAGATAATTTTTATGGTCCGTTTATGTTATATTGTATTGTAAGAAAAAAAACGGAAAATTCGCCCACACAAAAAAATGTAAAAAATAGAAAATACAAACAAAGTAAATCTTAACTGATGTTTTCTTTTTCTGAGAAGAGAAGTAAGAAATTTGAAATAAAGTCTCTATTTATCGCTAAACGAGTTGCTCTATTGTTTTAATGAATCGAACTTGTAAAAGTAGAAAATTAAATGAATAATAACATCAATTCTAACAACCACAAAAGAGAACAAAACGAAAAAAGCGTATTAGCATACAAATACGATGAACAACAAAACCAGTGATTGAGTTCAATCTTTATATCATCATGTAAAGCGACGTGTTGCTTACTCTCTGTATTCAACAAGACGTTATAACTGATTATCAGTTTTGTATGAAAAACGAAAATTCACAAGCTCATTTTATACGTTTGCTTGTAAAAAATAAACGACAATGAGTTAACTAAAGAAGGAGACGCAACGTAAACCAATAAAAACAATAATAACCAGAGAATAAAGTGAAATCAACAAAGAACAACTTAAAGAAGAAGGAAGGAGGAGGAAAACCAATCCATACATGCACCTACACAGGGATTACTTATTGATCTTATCGATGACTACAGTGAGAGAGATCATTCTAGTGGAAAAGCACACAAAAACTAACAGGTAAAATAATCGGGGTACATAATCTTCATGATATCAACAGTGTGAATAGGATAAAAAGAGAAATTAGAAGATTTGGTAAACGGAGGAAAAATAACATCACTATATATTTAATCAAAATACACAGAAAAAATTATTGTCATTACGTTGCGCTTAGTAATAATAATATTACTATTATCATTATTATTAACATTGTATAAGCAAGATCAGACACATAAAATATATATCCAGAGTGTGAACTATGAAAACAATTTAATATCCAACAAGAAACATCGCTTACATTACACATCTAGTTACACCGATGAACAGATATGAAGATTAAAAAACACAATAAACTCTCCACAGTGCAACATACATTAAAAGAAAAGTTCAGTTCAGAAAGCACAAAAAAGCGGACAAACCAGAGGAAATACAAAGGATGAACCAGCAGCTATTGTTTAAAAAAACATAAATACACAGGAGGATGAAAAGACTAGAAGAAGAAGAAGAAGAAGAAGAAGAAGAAGAAGAAGAAGAAGAAGAAGAAGAAGAAGAAGAAGAAGAAGAAGAAGAAGAAGAAGAAGAAGAACGAAACTCCACTTCCTTCCAATATTATTAGACTAAACTGGTTTCTGTTATTCAAGAAAACAACCTTTCGAGTATCAACATAGTATGTGTACACAATAAATCATTTAAGTGACTAAATTGAGGACGAAACAGAACTGGATAGGTAGAAACAACAACGAATATGACGTAGGGAAGCATGTCTATCAACAAAAGCGATAGTGTACTTTTCAAGTTTATCATTATATACACACTAGTGGGGGTAAAATTATTGTAAATCTTTCGCATGCACCCCAAGAAAAATTGAACAGCAAGTATATGTGTGAGCAAATTCAGTAGTAAAGTGTAATATTCAATATTTTTCGCCTTCGTTTTTACATTTTGGATGATGTATATGTAAGCTGAATATTATTACAAGAAATAAGGAATTCATAACAGTTTCTTTACTATATTCCCTGTCACATTCAAATCGTATTTTACAGATTTTCTTTAGACACAATCGAGCATTTAAAAAAAACATGACAACTTTGTGAACAATAACTTTAATACAAGCAGGTAAACAACAAACAGAGGGATTTGAAAAGAAAGACAATTGTAGAGAAAAATAACGTGAAATAAATCTGGCAAATTAACAGTAATCAGTGATGGAAATTCAGAGGGAACGAGGAAAAACAGGAAAACGATAAGCGGACAAAACTAAAAGGCAGATGGTCAAATTTTGTTCTAAATAATGGAAAAAACATTGTGTGTGACTTGAAATTTAAATGTTCTGGATGAAAACGGTTTTTGGGGGGGAGTAAACTTAAATACGACTTGAACTGAAAGCAAAATGAAATAAAAACAATTACTTTTTAGTGGAATTATCAGAGCTAGTAGCCGGTATTCGAGGATTTGTATCTCGAATATTAGGTGAGATTGATGGATACGAATTTAATGTAGCATGTGTCGATTTTGTTACGGAATCTATGTCAGTCTCACCATTACTATTCCGGAGACCACCAGAACTTGATGAACGATGTGTGTCATTTTCATCCGCAGTTGTTCGGCTAGTATTGCTTTTCGCGCTGACACGCCGATAGCTGGAGATTTGAGTGGAATCTACAGTGTTAGGAGTGACAGTAGGTGGGTTAGGTGCTGGTCTTCTGTCGCTTTGACGAGATGTGGAACCAAACGTTCGAACGGAAGTACCAGTGCTAGTTGATGCTGAACTATCTCTTCTAGGAGGCATACGTTCATTAATCTGATCATATGCTTTCGCTTGCTCAAAAGAGATGATTTTATTTCTGGGTGAAACACCAGAAAGTGCTAAATAATTTTAGAGTAAAAACAAAAAAATATCTTAGGTAAAATTATTTACCAGCACAAAAACATAAGTAAAGATGGATAAGCAAATGACTATTGTTTAAAGTACATTGGTTGCTAGAGAACTTAATTAATAAGCATACCTTTATTTAATGATTCTTTTCCTCCAGACAGTGCACCTAATGGTAACATCCCATTTGGTGTCAAGCCTTTCAGTTCAAATACAGACTCACTTTCTTCTCTGGAGTGAAACAAAAGTAAAAAACAATGAAGATATTAATAATATTTACAGATGTATCATGGAACTACACAAATAGTCTTATGAACACAAGTTATATACATTCGACATAGTTAATAATTGTTGCACTTAAAAGAATATTTCAAAGAAGTTGATTAATATGACGGAATAAATTGGGATTGTGAAAAGCCGATTTTCAAAGCTTGGATAATATTTTAATCGAACAGACTGAAATATTGATCACAGCTTCGTACTGGGCTAAATGCTGGAGAAACGTCAGTCACGTATTACAGGCTAATAACCGCTTTCATACTTCAGATAAAAAAACACTTACTTCGTTAGAAATAAGTGTTTTACAATTGTCTGCTAAGAAAATAACGACCTCGGTAAACTGTTATGTAAAACACTTTATGCATAGCTAACAAATAAAACATTCTATATTTCTTCTTTTCAACTAGGTACAGAGTCGAGTGAAATTGAATAATCCTCACTAAAAGCATTCTCTAAAACAAATGCTTCGTTTCGATGAACACATACTACTCAAAAGTGAGTAACATACAAATCATTCAAAACGTCACAATGTAGTTACTGATCCGTGAGTTCAGCAATGGTATTCATCATATACCATATTATCAACACACACAATGACAATTGTGGTTAATGAATGTTTATAATTTAGTGATTTACTTACATCATATGTTATTTAGTGAAGGGAAAAAAACTAAGTAAATAAATACTTATGTGCTTTATAAGGTGATTTCATTTACTGTATGAACATCATGATTACTCGATGATAAAAATTTTATTGATATAAAGCAAAGAAAACACACCAAATAAATTTCACTGTGAAATATATCAATCATATTGTTAAACAAAAAATAGATGGGATAATAGTCATTCAGCTAGTAATGCATCATCCATGACAATTATTACGACGGAAAGTTAGTTCGAATTGATAAACTCTGAAAGATAATTTATATTATGGATTAAACAAGGATTGATAAGCAGAAAGCCCATCGTTCTGGTTTAAAATTACGACACCCCTCTTAAAAAAGTAAGCCAAAAATATCAAGGTCTCGCAGTGACTTCATTACTCTTAGACCACTGAATCAGCATTCATATATCTAATGTTTCAAATTCAGTCAATATTCTATAACCGTCACTGACAACAGTTTCACTTAACATGTGATTGAATTTCACTAACATAAGTTTGGTTTGAATCAAACCGAAAAATATTTATTATAAATAACGAGAATTTCCGAAAGTGATTAAAAAAAACAATATACACCAGAATCAGATTAAAAATAACAAATTAAAAGTTCATTCCTTATAGATAACTGTCATGAGAAAATATGTGAAGTGAAAAGAAACAGTGAAATGATAGAAAGGTATAGCGAAAATCTTAATAACAACCGATCAATTATTCAATACTCTCCTATGGCCATTTTGACTGCACAACAACATTTTTGATCATATATAAACTACTTGTTAAATATAAACAGAAAAAATTGTGCCAGTTTAGAAAGAAATTAACAGTTATACTTTAGCTGGATTAGTATACAAAATAAAACTTAATGATAACTGAAGAGAAACTATTCAAATAATGAAAAAGTAAGGAAGTAATAACGTTAGGAGGTTAGGAGTAGTTGAAATGACTTAGGTTTCATAATAATTGCCATTCGTCAGGTGTTCACTTGTGAGATCTTCAAAAACTTTATGCTACCTGTAGAACTTGAAACGGCATTTCGCACCTTCCTTGTCTGAGACACTAGCACTAAGACATTAAGGTCGTCTCAGGCTGTAAATTTGGGTGACACTGACTCGATTTCGACAGTGAACATTAGCCCACACAAGATTGCAGGTACCTCTTATTGAGCTGTTCTAACCTAGCACTAAACGTAGGTCTAGGGTTTCCTTGTGACTACCTTTAACTGGTCAACATCAAAGTATAGTGCGTGCGATGTCGAGCTACTTAGATCAATAATTACATTGCAAATGGATAGAAAGAATTCGATCAGTGCTAGGAACTAGATAACAACATTAACCACAACTCAATGACCACTTAATGTGCACAATTATCATAGGAAGTTATTGATTAGTTAAAGATACATCATCCAGAAATTATTGTAGTTTTGAAAAATGATCATTATTATGAAGAAAATTTCCTTGTAAATAAAATAATGGAAAATCTAAAATATGCAAGATTTTAACAACAACAAAATTATACTATATGAAGAAATTACAGACTAGTAACCTAATGAAATCCTTTAACCATTGAAAAAAAGGATGAGTGAACTAATACATCAAGCAAAAAATGTACTAATAATCAGCAAAAGAGGGAAATGAAAATATATTGAAGTTTAGAAGATAAAAATCGAGCTTTACTTAAAAACCTTTTTCTTAAGACAAAAATAAACCTCAGTTTGAGGTTGTGTTGGATAATGTTAATATAAATGTTTTACAAGTAACAATCGGCACAAGAATATCTAATGATACCTATAATCATTATATAATTTAGAAAAATTAGTGGAATCTCAGTAGCAGTGAATCAACACTGCACACACTTACCTTAGCACTGTGAAAGTACGAGCCATTTTACCGATTGCACGTATTTTATTACGAATCACTTCTTTACGAGCAGCAACAGTGCCACCTTATTTTTTAAAAGAAAATAATGTAGAAGTACGAATGATAGAACCATTGCTTTATTGCATAAAATAATGGCGGGCAATTAATAGTACTATTTAAACAGTATCAAGAAAAAACAATTTGGAGCTGTTAAGGGCCATTGACAAACAACTAATGATCAAAAGAACAGAATATCACTAAGAACAAAAGTAGAAAATAACCAGAGAGAATATGAGCAGATTTGGAAGAAATGGTTCTGATGAATAGATTCGATGAACTATTTTTGCAAGAAAAATATTCCTGTTGGTATTGAGTTCTTTGACATCAATGGTTTATAATTTTATAAATGAATTGAACAACGGATGAGTTGTTCACAAAGATAACAGTAATGATAAAAAGAATACTACTACTATATATTTTCAATTTCACAATGAGTAGAAATTAAATTTCTGATGTTTCGTAACCGTTCATTATCATTCTAAACCAAATGATTAGAGTCGACCTCAGATAAGATTGAATGTTATTTGGAATTTCAATACACAGGGTAAGTTTGATTGTGATTGTGTTCTTTTTTCATGTGCATCCACATTCCCGTTGACTGTCGCAACAGGTATACACGACCATAAGATGGTCGGATGAAATCAACGTAAAGAGTATATAGACACTATGGAAGCCCCAGAGGTTTCTAGCCTAGATGCCTGGGAATTTCTTCAACCAAATATATACCCATATGGTCTCAATGCATTGATATCAAAGATGATACATCGGTTATTTAACTAATAATCTATGTTTATGAATGGATAGATGAAGTAAGAGCTTAGTTGGCAACAAACTTCAAGTTTATATTGCCATTTAACGACAACTATTGTCAACTTTGACTACTTATTGAGCGAAAAATTGTGATCGCAACATCTTTTCTAAGTAACAAATCACCAATTAACTATTTTCATAATATAAATTTGACCTAAATACCTAATCTTATCAGTATTATATAATCATTCACATAACAACGTTGAACAAAAGCTTTATGCATACCTTCAAATGTGTCATCACCTTCCTTCATTAATTCATCATCAGAACATATACTTAACACATTCATAAGCATTTCTGTGACTAAATGAATAAAAAATAACACAAATCAGTATATATAAAAACAAAAATTAGTATATGGACTGGGAGAATATATACTACTACTTACTACTAGCTACTAATATAACTAGCAATAACAGTAGAAGTAATAGGCTAAACAAGATGATAGCATATAGAAATTAGTCAGTAATACAAGAATTATCACTGTGATGTAATCGAAAGAAAATATTACAACAATACAGTATCTTTTATTACCCTCAACGATTTAGTGGGCAAAGTAATTGGGGTTCAGTTACTAGATTGGATGGAGGCTTCGAACACTGTCTTACCAACTTCGTGTTGGATAACCACCTAGAATCACTAGCTTTCACATCTAAACTGTGACTCAAAGGTGAACATATAAACCTATAATTAATTAATGAATTACCTATATTAAATTTTTAGTGCAGAAATACATCAGCAGTAATGTTTTGGTCTAGAATGTCAAACGATGTTGAGTTAACTGTTAAGTCTCGAAAAAAAAATTTTTAGTTTCATGGATATTGATTGGAAACAGTAGATAAACTAGTTTTATAATAGTTTGACAAATAAACAGCAACTAATATCATACAAATATTTAATAACTTAGGCTAAAGAAAACTGATAAATTCTAATTGTAATACAAAAAGCGGATATATATATATATATCAAGTAGCTTGATATGTTTACCATAAACTGATTCCAGTTTAAGGATGGTCAAAATTAGTGGACACCTCTGTCCTAAGTTATAACTACTGAGAAGTAACTATTTACAAGCCCACCAAGGATTTGTACAAGGTCTCATTAGAAGCACAATACCCAATTAGGATCGAGGGTCTATAATGTCAATCAAAGTATATTTGAAGAATCGAATACAGTTTTGAGTAATGGAATAAACAGACTAGAATAATGAAATCTTATCACAGAAGATTAGAAATGGAGTCGCCAACCTTAGATCATAAATGAAAGTCAGCAAATTTATAAACAGTATAATATCAGTAGCATCAGTACAATTACACAATTATTGTGTAGGCATTTTGAAAATTTGCAAACAATCTAGTAGTCTGGAGAAAAAATTCAATACTTCATTCGCACAGTTAAACAGTAAATACGAAAAAGTCGCTAGGAAATATTTGATTTCAAGTATTCCTTTTTCTAGAAATTTTTGTTAAAATGAGGATAAAAATAGGGAACACAAATATTCAATCAAAAGACTTAGTATAATAAGACGAATTAAACATCGTTCATTTCACCAAAATCTATTTTATCTTTTTCCTCTACTAATACACCAACAAGTAGTGATCAAGTTAAGTTACAAAATGTTAGAGTGGTGAAAAGTTATCATCATTTTCATATTCCGATCTAGGCACAATAATCTAGTAATTAAATTCAATATTCAGAGGCTCCGCAAAAACAAATAAGATATTCTTTCAGTAAAAAAAGAACACTTATGTGTTACAACCAAGATTTATCACGTTTAAATAATTCGTGACATAACTCTTAATAACAAAACTACAAAAACATTAAATTTATTGGCAAAAAAACAACACAACCAAAATATAATATCTGTTTATGACAAAATTAAGAGAGAACAGAAAAAAACATTTTTGTTTAACATTGAAATCATTAAGAAAATCATTGATTAAGATTTCGTAAATGCTGATTGGTTGTTTCCCATCAACCAATGTGGCATATGATAGATATTTTATTCAAAAGCAGAAAAAAAAAATTAAAATAATGTTAAACACAACTTAATAATACGTCAATGTACATGTATATAATGAATAGACACACACACGCACACATAAACATCCACCATATGGGGCATAAACAAGTATCAATTGATACTAACAACAAATGAGATAATTCAATGAAGTAGAAACAATGAAAACCAATTAAAACATCATAATACCAATAATCATAATGAAAATGAAAATAATAGCGGATTGTTTAAAAGCTAATAACACACGATAATCTATCTTTCTCTTTGGGAACAAAATTAACAACACTTCATCTTATGGTAGAGATCATTTTTGGGTAGATAAATACAACAACAAAAAAGTAAATGAAATCGATACTAAAGTTTGTTGATTTGGATCTTTATTTTCAGCTGAATACTTACTCGTAATCCCTTCTTTACACAACTTATATCCTACCTTTTTTTATTCAGTAGTAATAGTTATTGTTGTGAAGGAAGGCAGAGAACGAGATAGCGGGGAAAGAAATGGAGATGGAAAGTTGAGAAGAAAAAGCCTAACAAAACAAAATAATTAAAGCAGTAGATAATTATATTAATTACAGTGATATACACAGTTCGAATGTTATACTAAAAACCTAACCTTTTTCACCGACAAACGGTAAAGACCAAGTGAATACATCCATAAAGTTTGGAAGCCAATAAGGATGAGGTGAACAATTAAATTGTCGTATATTCATTGTATTATTTTCATATTTAAGTATGGCAGCTATTTAAAACAGAGAAAAGTGCTATTTGTATTTTGTTTTTTACAAGAACAACAATCTAAGTAAAATACAGTACCGAAAAAATATGTACTAAGTCTTCACAGTATCTAAGCACCATCAGGTTACGAGTGGAACACAACAACTACAGTGATGATAATTTATTCTGGTGAATAAATATGTATACAAGTAACTTGATCAGTAGTATGACAATATGTTCCCCCAAAACAGTAATAATAATAGTTTAGAAAAAGCAAAAATAGACTGAGTCATTTATATGAACTAAAGGGTAACTCATAGGTTGGACTCATTAAGAATGAGATGAAGAGACAACTAAATACAGAGATATGGAAGTTCATTGCTTAAATTTTGAAACTAAAACTTCCTGACGAAAAAGAAACTATGGTAGTGTTTTAAATATAAAAGAGAATAAAAAATCCTACCGTGGTAATAACCTGTAAAGAACTTATATCACGAACTGATACCAAAAGTAGAGCATTAATCAAAGACCAAACGAGTTTTGAACAGTCGTGTTTATTTTCCATTTGAGATTCGATTCGAAGAAATGATGCTTGTAGGTACAAACCTATGAAAAACGTGATTCTGAAGAACAAACGAGCTTCTTTATTTTACAATAGTTCTTTAGCTGACATCAATCCATTAATGAACTAATATTTACAAACTACAGTATGTTTTAATAATGGTTTCTAGTTTTTTGTTGTTGGTATTACGGACAGAAAATGATCAGTCTTTATAACCTATATGATCAGCTGAGAAAATTGTCTCGACATGGGTTATAGGTTTCTCAGTATATTCTGTAAGTGGCTAGCAATAGAATGCAGGATGCAAGTTTCATTCTACTTTGGACTCCCAAATAGATGTACTTCCACACTAACGTTGATTTTCACAATGAAACGCGAACTCACTAATCCTACTTCAAACGCACGAAGCTAACAAGCCACAAATAGGACGAGATAACCACTCTAGATTCTATTGCAAACAGCATGCTAAATAGGTTTTCCGTTCTGTCAAACAAATAACTAGTTTCTGTAAAAAAGTATAAGTTATGAAATAATGCAATAAAAAATTATTGTTAAGGCAAAAAGGTAAACACGATAAAGCAGGGAAACGGTAAACCACTAACGTTTGAAAACAAATTTTTATTAAAACAATATTTCGGTCTAAATTATAGGTTAGATTTCAAAATAAGGTTTAGTCAACTGACAAAAAGATATGGACAAACTATATACATTTTACGGTGAAGACAGATTTCATTGAGATCACGAATCGATCAATGTTAGACCACTATTGAAAACCTAGAAGCACTGGATGACCGTTTCGTCCTATTATGAGACTCCTCAACAGTGCGCATCCACGATCCCGCAGGCGGGACTCTAGATTAAGAGTTCGTGCGCGAGAACGAAAGTCCTGAGTTCGAATCCCGCGTGCGGAATCGTGGATGCATACTGTTAAAGAGTCCCATACTAGGATATAACGGCTGTTCAGTACTTCCAGGTTTCCAGTGGTGGCCTGACATTGGTCGATTTATGGTCTCAATCAAAATCTCAACAATATCCACAATCCCATACTGAAAATTAGATTTGGCTTACTCTTCCATCCGATCATAATTTCACAACCGACTATTCAGCGAAAATATGCAAGATGAGTCAGTTAAAGCATATACGAAACTATGACTAATAACGCCCGAATTATTTTCACGAAAGACTTTTTCTATACAAATACACAATATACTGGAAATAGTAATGGAAAATATAATTTAAAACAATTAAATCCAGCTCACCTTTGTTGTTATACACATCAAGATAATTAGGAGCACTAAATATGGTGATGAGTGAAGGAAAATTAGTGGCTTGATTTTTTCGATACATACGATAACTAAACATACGTTCACATGGAAATGCAAAATAAAAAAAATATTGTGCAAATTGTTATTATCATTTAGATAGAGAGGAAACGTGAAAATTGGTCTGTAAAAATTTTATAACCACTACAACAATAACAACGAAATTCATTTGAGCAATTCCTGAATTGCATATCATCTTATTAAATACAGTTTTGCTTAAGATCAAGAATTACAAATGAAAACATAGTATAGTTTTTTACTCAATGTGCCAAAACTGCAATTTACATGCTACTTGGTAGTTTCAGTTAAAAAGCGTTTATCTGCAGATTCATAACAGATTGTGCATATTAATTAGTTACTATTTTATCTAACAAAGTTATCAACACTGAAATTTCACATACAATAATATAAATTTGAAGTATGGGGTTGTGGAGATTGTCAAAAATTATTTCATTCACGAACCAATCAATTTTCAACAGACATTAAAAACCTGATCAGTTCGTTTGTCTTAGAATGGGTACCCACTGCTAAAAATAATATCAGGTAAAAAACGACCATCCAGTACTTGCAGGCTCTCAATGGTTGCCTCACTTAGATCGGTTCGTGATTTAAGTGTAATATCTATTTCGCTTCACTTTCTCTTGAACATTAAATTTTCGGCTACTTTGCTATTATCAAAAACCTCAAAATTCATTAACCTATTTTTCATTATACCTTATAACCACTGCACTTGCGATACAAAGCAGCACCACCCACTGGCGGTAATAAGCCAGGGCAAAAGATGGCTAGGAAGCAAAAACAAACGTGGTGAAGAAACTGGAAAATCTATGTCATTAAAAAGTCATAGAAGACAACATTTTCTCCCACAAACTCATACACAAAGCTACGTCAGTTTTACCGAACCACACTGCGAAACACCAGACTCATCACATACGCAAACGTAAAATATTCAGATGGTCCATGAAAAATATAGTGACTAAGGGAGCAGAAGTTACAGATCCGGATCACCACCTGGTGGTGACCAAGCTTAAAGAAGAGTTCGACAATGGGAAAGTTAGCATCACAAAACTTTAATACAGCCTTCCTTCGAAATTATAACAAGCTCATTCAGTCCAAGATAAATCTCGGCAACAAGTTACAAGCCTTACATGATCTATCAAAAAAACAGAGGAATCTACTGTAGAGGACAACTAGAAAGGAATTAACAAAGCAATAACTTCAAAATGTCAGGAGTGCTGTGCCTCAAGAAACACGATGGATCTCCGTAAAAAACCTGTCCATGATTCTGGGAAGCAAACAAGGAGATAGTTGTGGTTGAGAGTCACGCAACCTTATCAACAGAGTATTTTTAAACCGAATGAAATATTTAGTCGACGCCCGGATTCAAAATGAAGAGGATGGATTCCGAAGGAATCGGTCGTGTACAGACCAAACCACGACACTATGGATCACTGTTGAGCAGTCAGTTGAATGGAACTGACCACTATACATCAGCTTACTTGACTACGAGGAAGCATTTGACAGCATGGATATAAGGACATTATAGAACCGTCTTCGATACTATGGAGTACCTAGAAAGAATGTCATTATCATACAAAACCAATACAGTAGGCTACATTGCAAAGAAGTGCATGGAGGCCAACTCACAGACAGATGAATTCCAAGTAGAGACTGGTATCAGATAAGGTTACCTATTGTAACATTTTCTCTTTCTGCTAGCTGACGGGTCAATTACGAAGACCTCCACACTTTACAAGAAGCACGGGACATGGTGGATATCTTTAACTCAGCTGCATCATTTCGACTTGGAGATCACAGTGCTCAGCTATCGCATACAAACTAATAACATTATATGCATTTTTAAGCAGCTTTCGACACAAGAATTACCACATCCATTGACCAAATATTATGAGCCATAACCTATTCAGATAAAAAAGAAACTGGCTGCCAGCTAAAGAAAAAACTAGGAAAGGATACTGGAGGCAGATAGGATATACCATGCATCGCAAAGCAAGCTCTAAATTCAATTCTTTAAAACAACCGGAAACGGAGCAGACCAAAGAACAAATGGGGCCGGAAGCTGAAGGTAGGCATCAAGACCGTGAATAAAACTGGACAACAACCGGAAGGTGGAGCTCAGGACAGAGATGACTGAAGATTCCTGGTCGAGCCTTATCAGCCTGGAAGGGTGATAGGTTTAACATTTTCTTCATGTAAACAGCAATACTAAATAATATTAACTGTCGGAGTGGTAATGGTAGTTATATTACTAATAATGGCATTGTGAAGGTCAACAGTTTGTTTAAATATGTACTGCAATGTGTCATACTATTTTCTATCGACCTCAAGCAGGATAAAAACCGACTTTCATTTTTTCAAATGATTTATGATACCTGCAAACTCACATATAATGACTTATTTAACTAATGAATTATTTCGATAGAGTATAAAAAATCCATCAGTACTACACAAAGGTGTATAAAAAGATGCAAAGAAAAGTATGCTTTGAATCAATACTATTTTAAGCTATAAAATGACTACGCACACGATAGGGAAATCATGCATACCTGGGAAATGAACAACGGAGACTGATGAAGGTCAAGTGGGAAATCAACAAAAAGGTTACTAATAAACACACTATAATTAAATTAGACTAAAACTAAAGATAAAGAATTAAAATACACGAATTATCATTACAATTAAAGAAAAGTTAGACAAAAAGAAAAGGAAAATCAAATTGAAGTTAGTTAACTTACAATCAAATAGAAAAGATACAAGTGTCAAGGTTCAAGAAAATAATCCTGAATACTTGTGAAATGAATTTTTCTGGATATATATAGATAAACAATATCGAAATAAATCAATAAAAACGGCATGAATAGTTCGAATGTGAAACCTATACTCCGTTAAAGATAAACAGATACATGAATCGTATATATATATAAAGACAGAAAATTTCGACTAACCCAGCATCTTGAGCTTCATGTGCACGTATTATAGAGAGAAGACTGTTAGTCTGTAGGAAATCACAGCAAGCATCATAACTATAGGGTAGGTCGATTTGAGCGAAACCATTTGAAACAATTGAAGAAACCAAAAGAACGAAAAATTTGGAAGTAAACGAAATAAACTGTTTTGAAAGGTAAACATGTTAATCAATAAGATTTAACTTCTTAATAACTAAAATTATCAGATGAATAAAACGGTTTTTAAAAAAATCGAATTTAACTTTTACTCATAAAAAGAAAAACATTTATTAGTGAATGAAACTGTGATAACAAGGACAAAAGCGAGTTAGTGCTAAATGTTAATGATTAGTTGGAAGGTGTAGAACTTCACAAGCCAACCCTTTTCACTTTAATTCTAAGATACTACATAAACAGTCTCTTGTGCTCTGCTGCCCGATTAAACAGGACATTAAGAACTCGGAAAGATTGGGAAACACACTGTTGCCTCTTCGTTGTCCCTGCCTACGTTCCCACCGACTGCAGTTCCAATTAAGTAAAACATTAATTTGATAGGAAACTTCCAAAATCCCTTCAAAAAGCTACACGCTCATATGTAGTAATGGTGACGGGTGATTCCGATTGCAAAGCAGATAGGCTAAACTAAACCGAAAGACACTTGGGTGGATCATAGGGTACTGAGGCTCAGTGGTCAGAAAATTGCATCAGTCTGGTGCAACTATGCTTATATAACTGTCTATTTCGGGCAAGTACTAACTTTAAGCACAATGAAGGATATTATCTCGCATGACGACACACACAATCGACTCAACGATGGATAAAAACAAACCACATTCCCATCAGCCATTGTTTGGAAGGATCGACAGAAGATTGCTGTTCATTCTGGAGCATATGTGTAGGTTCAGATCATGCTTATTTAATTGCATCTGAAATGTAGCGGCTGGATGTACAAGGGACTCCTGTGCTAACAATGAGGATTCGATTGCTAAACTTTGTTCATTTTTATTAAAATTTTTTAACTAAACGACAATAACGAGCTGACCAGCTTGCAATGGAAATACGCAAAAGAGACTGATCAATAGCAGCTCTTTTAATCAACAACGGGAAAATACGAACACAAAAACAGATGTCAATAATGATTAGACTTCTTCATATATTAATACATTAAGACAAGCTCAAACCATGGATCGATGAATTGAGAATTAAACTTTAAGTTAGAAAAAGTTAGGTTGAAGAACCTGAAAATATTCTGGAGATAACTTTATCGCAAAAAGATATGAGCTGAGAAATCACTGAAAAAGAACGAGCACTGAATAACAGCTTTTCCATCCTAGTTTCGGTTAATAATAAGCATGGTAAGTATGTAACACTAACCATCATCAAATTAAAGAAATTCAAATTTTTCGGAGAGCATGTTATCTTTAGACAAGTCTGAATCAATTGATCCATTAGTTTCTATTATTAGTCAATTCACGATATAAAATAGAAATCATATGATATCATTGGCGCGTGACTGTCTCATAATCGATGTAGTCTATATGATTATTACATATCGTACCAACATTATTCGTTTAGTGACTTGAAATATAGGTGACATTTCAGCATCTGATTACTATTAAACCTGACCAATTGAAATTTAATCTGTATGATATTATGATATGACATACAGTAGTTACTTGCATATAAGCAATATATAACCTACAAAAAAATTTCGGTCAAACATAGGATTCAGAATACTTGTATGAGTCTACTATATAATATTTGAAAAGAGATGTCATAACAGTTTTACTAACATGATAAACAACTCATAATAGTTTGTCATAAAGTACCCACTGGGTGTAAAACACCAAATTTTACTTTGACTTATGCTTATAAACATTTACTTAGCAATCTATCATTTTACTACTCTAAGACATAAATATTACTTGATTTAACATGCGATGAGACAAACTCTTTACAAAATGGAATAAATTATGAATTGATTGTCAGTCACACAGAAAAATCGTCCGCTTGCACTCGATAGTACTAAGTAATTGAACAGAAATTAAAGATGTATTCACTGAAGAAAATATTTTTTTAAATTTTCGAGCATAGACTGAAAAAACTATATTTTGACACAACACTGTTAGGTTAAGACATTTTGTAGATCTTTTTAAATGCAGTTTTCAAAAAACTGAGTCAACTAAGGAAACATTGTACTTGATTTCGAACCATAGTGTTTATATGAAAATTACTGATATCGTATGGATGCTTAAACAGAAGTAGGTGGAGAGGATCGAAGTTGGTATTTGTTAATTGAAAACAGAGGGCTATAACCACTAGATAACTGCTTTATAAGAGAAACGTTGAAAATTAGAGGGCATTGTGTAGTTCATTTGTCTCAGTTGTATAAATTCATGACTCCAAGCGAGATCAAGAAAACGACTAGTACAAACTACAAAGTTAAATCCAACGTGCTACATATACACAGCATTAATAAGTGTTTGGTGTGATTCCCATATAATAACCAATGATATGATGTTGCTTTATTCTTGACAATCTCGACTTCTTAGGTTAAAAATACGTTCTATAAATTTATGGCAAAACTATGCAGACAGTTCAATAAACTTCCGTTAACTAATGAATAGCAGAAAACATAGTCGTAACAAGACGGTTAACATTGAAAATGTACACAAAAGACCAACATCAAGTTGTTTATATTGTGATCTATTTACAGCAAACATATATGAATAACTAGGTCAGAATTTCGTTTTTTTGTTTCAAGATTCATCGGAAGAAAAGAATCCGTATACTAAACATAATACGTATTGTAGATACAACTCGAATTACTCCAACACCAACCCCAAAGATGACTTTTTCAAAACTGAATAGCGATAACAAACAGATATCTGTTCGATGTAGGTAAACTTTATTCATGAGATTAAATAGCAAAATAATTAAGATAATTGAATGAGAGAAGAAATACAACCGAATAGACAGCATTCGTCAAACTTTTAATTAAAATTGAAAAAAAATACAACTTTAAAACAAATTTAGCCAGTATACAAAAGGAATGATAATAAGTTAAGCCTACCTACCTGAAAAAGAAAGAACAACCTCTAACACAATTATGAGAGAAATGATCTAATGATTTTTCACTCCCAAAATCTTCCAACGGATCAGACCATAAAAGGTCACACATTGAACCAAACGCAGGAGGCTCTCTGTATCGATCAATCTGTCAAAAAAAAAAGAAAATGGAATATCGGTAACTTTGGAATATATATTAGTGACGCAGAGTATCGTAAGTGTTTTATTAACGATAAAATTAACCCAACATATGACTAGTAACTCCGATCTATGACTGTTCCTAGCAATCCAATAGAAAAAATTGAGTGAAGAGGTCATAGTGAAAAATACAAAGGAAAAACACTGACAAACTGAGAAAGAAGACTTTTTAACTATCTGTCAGTGAAATAAGACGTAGAGAAAGGAGATATCTTTAGCATAAAATTTCACATATTATCTAAAAAAACGTTGAAATGATCAATCTCTACCGATTCATGGGATTTCTACTACAGTCAGTCTCAAGAAAACAAATGCGTTATGCTAAAATGTTCACAATTAACAATCACTATGTGAAATATATGGCTTATTACACTTGACTTTATGCTACATATATGGTTTGACGTTTTCAATCTCCCTTTCTATTATACATGCTCGATTTACTATTTATATGGTTCATCATTTATCATATATATAATGACGAAATATGTGTATTAATTTAAACAAAATCAAGTTTGTACAATTAGGTCTTTATAACTCTAAACAATGGAATAAATATGGATAAATAGCTAGTTAATAGTATCATCACATTATCATTACCTCAGAAAATACAAAGCAACCAGTTTAGATTGATGAGTGATAGAACCATGGGATCTTCAGTCAAACACATAAAATTGAGTTAACAGACTGAATATATATAAGGATAGATATCCATAGTTTTGAAAGTCAGACATTTTAACATTATTGTGCATCTAGTAAATTTGGTATGTGACTAATAATGGATCCTAAGATGAATAGTTCATTCAATCCATGACTCATCAGCTGGATTCTCCGATTCCAATGTGTTGATATTTACAACTAAACTCAAATTCAATGCCAATCGCTTTAAAAGCTCCCATTGCTAGGTACATACCAAATATACTGAGAAACCTGTAACATAGTGCTAAATCGAGACGAATTGCTCAGAATGTAGTACAAATAGTGACAGACTAATCGATGGAAGTCCTAAATATAAAAAAACGAGAAAATTCAAACTTACACATAAACTATGGACTTTCTTTACAATTAAAAAAAACATATACAACACACAATGTTTCTTGACTGTTTTACAACTACATAGAAACAATAAACACAATAGTATAAATAATTACGAGGTACCGAATTAATATAAATTTATAAATATGGACCATCGATAAATCAAATCTGTGGATTAAAAATGAACCATTTATCCCTTGAGATTTTAGGAATTCGGAGCTCACAACCCCTAACAAGAGTACCAATGAGCACTGTTGGATAGATCGAGGAAGTAAGAGCAAAATAAAATGTAGAATGATCTCATTAGTTTCGCAAGGTTGTTGCCTAGTTAATGTCCAAAGCTAATGACTAAAGCAATTTAAGAAAAACAGTACTTTACTAATGTTCCTATGACGACACTCTACATATTTACGGGGAAACAAATATACCAGCTGCCAATAACAACAATAATTATGAATGAATAACCATTTTATTTAACAAAGGAGGAGGTCAGCAGACGACAGATAAACACTAGGAAGTAAATAACTGATCAATGTGACAAAACAAATATAACAATAAAAGTAAGTATCAATTCATAACATGAGAAAAATGGCTATATTTTTGGTAAGATAACTCTACATAGATCATTTGTTAAAACTGGAAATTAATTTGTAACATATGTATTTTACTTTACTGACTGTTATAATTTCACTCTTTTCCTAAGTATAGATAGATAATGTAGAAAAAAAAAACAGAATTTAAATCTCCTTTATCAATCATTTGAACTGGTTAACTTCCTTCTGTACCTAGATTAGAATGAATCTCGCTACTCACCATTCTCTTCTAGTTACAAATACTAGAAAAAATAGATAAACTATTTATTTTCAAGTATGTGTTTGAATGTTGTGAACGGAAAGTTATTTAAAAACGTGGACGATGAATCATGTTAAGGATACATTTTTATCCATATATTTATACATGAGAATGCTGTCAACATCGAATGAGACAAGCAGTTTTGGAATAACATTGATACAATGCGCGTAAAACATTTCTACCTGATAATATTAAGACACACTGCTAATCCAATTAACAATAATAGTAACTTTCAGGGATCGAAAATCAACAACAATGAAGTGAAGTATCATATATATATATAGTTCAAGTTCATAGTTTGTCTTGTGTATAAGCTCTCATTCATAACAACGTATTTGTGCACAACAACAGTGTATACTATTACGCACAAATTGTTACAGACGAAAATCTCATGTTTCTATGCAGGGACTTTCGACCACCACAATTAATGAATAGTATGCTAAACAATAAAAGACATGTTATGAATACAATGACATGAATTGATGGCTCCATACGAGACCGAGTTGTTGACTTTAAAATTCAAATGAATTGGGATCGAAAACAAAAATACTAGCCAGAAAATGATTGGATTTCATGAAAATACCATGTTTATAAACAAAATATTTACAGAAAATCAATCATGAAATACTGTGAGCGATTGAAGGAAATCAATGTTTGTAGTTAAAATAACGAGCTGATCCTAGCTAGAAGACCACCGAAAACCAAGGGACGCTGGGCAGTCGTTTCGTCTTGGCATGATTATTCGGCAGTTAGCATCCATGATCCCATCGAAGATTGAACCAAGAACCTTAGGACGAATACATGAACACTTAACTTAAACACCACCTACTCTTCAACCAACTAAAACCTTTTTCAACATACATATTCCTTGAAGAGCATTTAAACTACATAATTAGTGGGAAAATAGGTGCTTATATAGAATTCGCTTATCTCCTGGATTATAATCCCATGAAGAGTGGAATCGATAAAAGCTGTCTCATTTTCTTTTCTGTAATATTTAATATATGAAAGAAAAACTTCGAAATGTACATACGGTACTAAAACTACTCACAACTACACAAATAACTTGAATATTAAATTAAATTTAAGAAAACATCTAAGATTCAAATAAATGATTTTAACGTTAAAGTACACTCTCAAATTACTGGAAGAACATATAAGGCTTAAAAGATAGAACTGTATCCTTTAGAAACTGTATATCCAACTGTGTTACGCAAACTCAGAATCGTTCAAAGTGTTTTATCTGTTAAGAAAAGCCATTATTGACCAGCAAAACTTAAATGGATACCCAAATAGCCTGGGATGTACTAGAATTTAATACCATATATAATCCTCATGTTCATTTGTACACATCGACAGCCATGTTAAACAATTCACTCTTAGCTAGTGAGTAAATTTTTTATCGATAAACAAAGTAATACATGACATATGCCTTGAAAAGTTCACTATATCTCGACCAACTGTTAATTTTCTAATAACCGGAATGGCTAGTGTGACCTTATTCAAAGCCTCAGGTCACATACGATAATAATAATAGTCATAATCATAATAATAGTAATAATAATAATAACAACAATAATAATAAATAGATAAATAAATAAATAAGTATAAATAATCACCATTGTACTTCGCGACTTCATTCACATTCACATTATCATATATATATGAGTTATCATATGATTAAATAGATAATTATCGGAAGGGGTTTTGTGGAGATTTTAGTAATTTCAATTGTTGAGATGATGAGTCAATTAAAGCTAGACCACCATGGAAAGCCTGGAAGCATTAGACGGCCATTTCGTTCTATTGTGGGACTCCTCAACAGTGCGCATCCACGACCCCGCCTCGCGGGATTCAAACCCAGGTTTTCCATGGTGTTCTAGCTTCAACTGACTCATGAACTCAACTATTGAAATAGATAGTTGTTTAGCGTAGTGTTTCTTTTCGGTTTTATTTATTGATAATTCCGATGTTAAATATCTTCCTAAAAACGATTAAACAAAAGAACTGAACAGGATGTTGAAACTAATGAACTCAAATCATTAAGGTTTTCATGATTTGTTCGTTATTTTCTAAATACTCCATCCTGAATTCCCGTGAAACTGTTCAAATCTTGACAACAGCTTATAAATGTATGCAACTTTTTCGAAAATCATAGAGGTTGTAGACTAAATTGACAAGAACAAGAATCCTATAAACCCTAATCTTATCTTATAACTAAAAGGAAGCATCTAATGACATTTTATATTATGAGTAGCTAGAATAAACAACTGCCAGAAAGAACTAATTGAGCGAAGAAACTTCTTTTCAACTAGTTTTTCATCATGGCTCTACACTAATATATATATATATGTTTTACAATAATAATATAATACTCATCGAGTGGATACGTTACGTAATAATTACATAATGACATTTAAATTAACATTGAGTAATTGGAAGAAAGAGGATTATTAATATTCAAAGTAATCAAGAAGTTGCTACGTTGCGTAATATAAGAAACAAAGAAGGAACAGAATTTTAACGGATGGTCAATAGGATAGTAGTTACGTAAAACTCAAGAGATGAATGTTGAGAAGTTATAAGGTTCAAAAACAATAGAAACAAAATTACAAAAATTAAAAAAAAGAAGTGAAAGAAGTATGAAAAATAGTTCTTATGACGGAAATTTTATACTGAAGGCCAGGGCAGAGAAAGTGGTTGTACGAATTTCTTTTGGATGCAAAGGTCGGGTTTGTGAACATGAATCGCGATGGCTTCCGCAATGTGCAAAAGCCGCACTCGTAAACCATGTGGTAGATTTGATGGAATATTGTAGATAACCTTAAAAGCTTTATTCAATTCGACTTGATGACCTGTGTCAACCAAGTGAGAGAGAATAGAACTTTAAATCACTTTCACCTCTCCTTTGCTTAGCCATGTCGGATGATGTTCAGTAATGCGGTGACGGACCTGCCGAATTGTTAGCCCTATGTAACTCGCTCCACAGGAGCAGTTGAAACGATAGATACACATAGATTTGGTGAATTCTGGCAGTCCGTCTTTAATGGATGTTCTTATTTTCGG